CAAGCGGAAGGGGGGTGATTCTACGGGAAAAAAGAAGTCGAAAATATAGAATAAAAATTTTTCGTTCGAGGCTTTGTTTTCGAGAAAATCGACTTTGAATTTTCGCACGGTACGCGTGCACTTTACCGCGTCTCGTTATAACGGATCTCACTGTAGATTTTTAAAAAAATAAAAAAATTTTTTTTTTTAATTTTTATTCCATATTTTCGACTTCTTTTTTCGCAAAGAATCGCCCCCTTTCCGCTTGTACCAGCAGTTACCAACCACCCTGTATATAAGAAGTTATTCAAAAAATTGAATTTTGCAAAATATACAGTTTCACTAAAACTTTTGTTTGAAAGAGAATTTATCTTTTATTATGATTAAACATTTCTAATATACTTGCTAACAACCAAAAATATTTGCACATAAAATGATATATTATTTGAGGTGTAATCAGAGAATAGCAAAATATCGTTGATATGTTTTTCTATTCAATTTACGTATTACCCTCTTCTGTTGTTGATGTCTTGTCAAGACCACATCTCAAGTACTTTGCAAAGCATGCATGTGTCTGTGCGTTTTTGCAATTTTAAAACCTTTATCCAAATTCTCTCTGCACTATTTAGTTTTTGTAATGTAATTTTAATAATGAATTATATTTGCTTTACCTTTTTTCTTCCCAATTTTGGCTAACGAAATAATTTCAATTTATTTTCTTCCATTTTCCCAAAATAATAAATTACTACGCTAATCAAAGATTTGGAATCACTTTTTTAATCACCTACGCTAAATCACATGCTAATTCCATTATTAATCCTTTCACAGTGTAGCCCGACACAAATTCGAACAAATTGCCAAACATAATATTGTAAATTTCACATGTTATATGATATCACAAGTAAACTAATTATTAATATTTATACATATTATTTTCACATTTAATACTAGAAACGCGAGAAATCTTAATGAAAAAGAAATAATTACTCTCTAAATTTATCATCTGCATTTTTCATTATCCTTTTACTCTATCGAAGGGTTAGTTTCAAATTAATGTCACAAATACCGACAATAATATCCTTTATTTCAATAAAATTTCTAAGGTAATATTTTATTCTAATTCTGTTACGACCGTTTGCGGAGAGATACGATCGCGAGGAAAACGCGTTCGCTATAATTTTGATAATCGACGTCGCGAATTAGTCGTTCCCCTGTTTCTACTAAGATAACAGAGGTAGTTCAATGATTTTAACACTGAATTAACAGGATTAATATAAACTTGTATAATTAACAATATTTAAGATTATAATGAACACGTCACACGTGATTTAACGATGATACAATTAGTTTGTTACAGTAATTCGACCCGACTTTATGATATTCTATTCGTCTGAACCTCTCAATATATTCCGTTTGAATTCTGAAATGATACTGATTGCCCTTCGATTTGTTTTCTTTGTCTTCTCTGGGAGATGACCCCCACCACGCTCGGGTCACGCCACCGTTCGCGCCTATGATCACGTATACCACCTTCTTTGTGTAGATAAAATACTGGACCGAAGGCGAATCGACGTTTCTAGAATTCGCTGCTTGACGACAGCTATGCGCTTGTCGCTACATTGTATATATTTCGCTGGTCATATAAGACGATCTGTCTGCGACACCGTAGGACCACGAGCGACGGTTAGGAACACGGCCTATAGTAAGCCTCGGGGTGTGACAAATTCTAAACTGACTTTTTTAAATTCATGAGTTCTATGAAATATGTACCTACTAATTTCAAATTTTCGTTCAAGAGTATATAGAGAAGTTTAGTATCTCAGAATATTTTGGCATCTTTTTTTCAAGAAAATAACCAACTACCTTTAACACTATTCGTCGGGATCTGCTGTTCCTCCTTTCTCCAAGTAGTACGTTTAATTGCTTTCTTTCACTTTGTCTTTTAATTAATGCCTCTACTTCTTGTACAGCTGGCTCGACCTACTTGGAAAGTATTATTTCGATGCATAATACATTTCACGAGACTTGCATCCTTTCTATTTTTTCTTCATCATTCCTTTTCTTTCTGTTCATCAGACATACATCGATTTTGTCTCTCTCATCCACTCTAGCTTACATTTCCCGCATTCCTTGCATTTTTTCTAGTTTGTACGCATTGTTCTCCTACTTGTCCGTATTATTTTGTGTATCTCCTTCTAAAATATTCTTTTTCAACTTTTCCAAGCTGTTTATTTTAAACTTTATAACACAATTTCTATTCTATTATGAATATGGAGTTAAATTTTACCTCTTACTATAAAATTTATTATATAACGCAAAGCTAAAATTCAATGTGTCGACTGTATACACGAGCTTGTGTCGATTGATGTTTATGTGCGTCGTTGTTCTTTGGGTGCAATAAACGCAACTTAGAGAAATTTTGGGTGAATCCATTTTTACTTTCGCAGTTGTGTCTGCTTTGGATTCTCGCAGAAAACTAACTCCTCAATAGAACTTGTGAGCAGATGTAAAAGTATTGAATTTTGTTTGCAAGAAAACGGACGTCAAATTGAATATTTACTTTAATACAAAACGATTGCCATTTTTGTTAAGATTTTTCTGTGGACACTCGCTGACGGGACACTTGCGGTGCGTGTGTGATTTTTCAGTGGACATTTACAGGCGATACAATCGCGGTGCATGTATGAACTTTGTATAAACATTGTTAATATGAGCTTTTGTTTATTAATTGTATATGAAGGATTAGAAAAAGCATTAATCCCCTCTACTTGGAAATTCCATAGGGCAGTTTTCAACACGATGTTATAGATATCCATGAGTAAGCATATTTAATGTTTTATCTAGGATTTTCCTTACAAACCGTCGCACAGAGTTTTCTCCTCTACGATCTGTACGTCTAAGTTTCGTTCGATTTGCAGACTGCTGTGCTTTCTGCTGCTCGATTAAGTTCTAAATTTCAAAGTTTGACAATGGTGAGATATTCGATGTTGGTTTTTCGGGACAAGCAGTTGCGTTTGTGCATACTACAATATTTACGGAACGTCAACCCAAAGTGCAAGTGCAAAATTCAAACACAATTGCGTATCCCGAAAAAGCAATATCAAAATAAAGTAGATCGAAGTTCTTATCATTTGAGCTTTTGGCGAACCCGTTGGCGTAACAATTTGTTCGAGAAAATTAGATATTAATAGATTATCTGATGTGATAATACTTCTAATGTTCATATATTCTCAAATTTCTGTTTGTGCAGTTTAGCTTTTTCCAAACTTTTATATTTCGTTTATTACAATTGAAGTTGGAAACATAAACTTACTTCGTTTAATAATTCTTGTAGCAATGGCCCGATATTTTTTATACTTTATTTTGTTTGTTTCAATTTTATAGCATATGAATACATTTACAGCATGACTTGACATTTTTTATATGTAGCTGTTTCGCAATTCTTTTGCCGCTTGTTTCGAGTTCGAGGCATAGTCTTAGAAGTTGCTTCTATGATTATACCAAAAAGTTTTTCAACCAGCGTATTTATAAGGTTTATATAATACATATTATAATACATTATATAATACATTATAATTATATATACATTATATAATACATTCGTTTTATCTGCAGTTTTAAGCCTGTTAATTCCATCCTCTATTAATACTTGGAACTGAATCCAATCGGCTTTGTAATATTTTCATCTGGATGTGTTGATATTTATTGCATTTATATTATGTTTTATATTTAACGAAATTGAAAAAATGATCGCTATGAAAGAGCTCAGTGGATATTTGCCATTCGAATAAGTTCACAACGTAAGGAGTGTAAAATGAGAGATCAATAAAATTTGATTTATCGGTTGCTGTATTAAGATGTGTGAAATCCTTTTGATTTAGAAAGAAAAGTCATTTTCCACAAGTACCTTTCCAATGAGTTAACCTTTTTGACCAATTTTATATGATCCTCAAAGAATGTTGTGACTTGAATGACAAAGAATGTTGAAGGTATATAAAATAATGAACGGTTTGGAAAGTTGATTGAATAATTCCGGTTGTTCTTAAGATTTTAGTTGGTAATTATGTATATGAGAAATAGAAAATTATTTCTAAATATGTGAAATGACCAACCCTACATAGAACGAAGTTAACTAACTTTGTGATTTCAAAATATTACAGAATTACTTACCATATGAGGAAACCCTTTTAGTAAGAGGGAAATAACATCAGCAGCATATTTTTTAGTATTAGGTCGTTCAGAAAGTGTCTCTCTTTCGCAAACGTATTTTTTACAACAGTGCACCTTTATACAAACGTGAAACCAAGTCTGTGAAATGTCACAGTGTTTATCTCAACAGAATAAAATGGAATGTACGTAATTCTACAAAATAATATAATGTAAAAAACATTGTGCGTCTATTATTTCCTTTTAAAAAGAAAGAAACTTTTCCGAAAATCTAATATAATATCACGACATTAATAATTAATTTGAAAGTACGACGCAATTTAAATTAACGTTTAAAATCTACACAATTTAATTTAATTTAAATTAAAAAACATGTAACATACAGTATTGATACGCAAATTTTCTCAAGGGATTATTTTTTAATAACGTTTTGTTTAATCTCAAATATTAAACAAAGTTATAATTATTAGTAATAATAAATATACTTATATATTTATAATATATAAATACAAATAATAAATTTGACTTTTTAATCATTTGAAGCTTCTACCTAAGATATTTTTTGCTCTTTCTTTTATTTCACCCGAAATTAAACAACTTGAACAAATACATACAAAAGTTCTGTAGGAACTACTAATATTTTACAAAATAATTGCAAACACGCTTGTATTGAACGCGTTGTAATTACAAAAAAGGAGAACGCGGAACATAGGGAAACGGATGAAAGTACTTTTAATTTTTCGAGCAATTTATCGTAGCTCGTCTGACATTAACATAATTGTTTAAACGTGAAAAATACGATCTCGACGAAAAAGTGCTTAGTCTGGAGGTTAAAGACAAAAACTGGGTCGATTCAATTTTTTATCGTCGAAGTTTTCCCGTGACTGAAAATATAATTATACCTGCCTGCTCTATGTAGCGTTTATGAAATATCTACGAACAAATAAAACTTTCTTATTTTCGCCCCAACTGAACGACTGACTGCGAAACATTTCCGTTCAATTGAATTCGGAAATACGAGTCGAAAATCTTTAAGCGATTGTGTACTTATATACTGAAAAACACGTTAACTGGATATGATGATTTTGTGATCGGAAAACGTACGCCGACGAATAAATGTTCTTATTCAGATGAATGAAAGGTATTAAGTATATTAGAAAAATATTTTTACATCAAAACAATTTGCTTTTTTCTGAATTTATATGAACTTTCATGAATTTTTATTACCGATAACATTTAAAATATCTGCATATATGCGTATCATATTTATAGATATTATTTTGCTTATAAAATCTTTAGTATATATATATTTAGTATATATTTAGTTTAGTATATTTAGTAAATTTTATATTAAAGTTATTATTCAAATTGCAGCCAAGTATTTATGTGTAATTGAGAGATTTACCGAAAGAGCGGTACAATTTTTTGGCCTCTCAATTTTTTTTTCTCTAAATGAGTTAACTGCAGGAAATGAAATATAACATTTGTATTTATTTAGAAAATTTTGTTATCAATTTCCAGTTCTTTATAAGCAATTAAATATAATGGCGTGTTTCAGTGTTTGGAAATATATACAATATGTAGATGTTTCTATTTGACTGAATCTCTTCTCTTAATTGTAGCCTTTTTAAATTAAAAATTTTGTTAGTTTTATCAGTTTTTATTTGAATCTCTCGATTCATCTATATAATACCATTTAATATTAAATATAGTACCTACTATAGATAATTTTAAATCAAGTATGTTACTAAAAATGAGCTTTTGTTCAGTTACGACATTGAAATATGCAGTTAATGAATCTACAAATATAATTATTAATTTTTGAATAAAGTATTAAATAATTAATATTATTTGCATTTAAGAATGTATTTAGAAATTTACATACAAAAGCGAGTATTAGGTTTTTACATAATATGTAAATATCGTTTTGAGATAAACGGTGTTAATACGAATAATTTCGTTTAATATGAAAATTTTTATTTAATACAGGAGTCTTTGAAATTAATAGAATTTTTTTTACAATTATATAAATTTGTACGAAATGACGTTTTTATTGTTTCGGATCACTTCGCTACGTTTGTAGTTGACAAGGTACGGAGAGAATTTGGAAAGGTATTACAAAAAACTTCATTCGAATATTCACGTAACTTTGCTCGCCACGTGGGTTACTCGTCAGAGGCCTAGGGCACGAGATTTCACACTGCGCATCGCTCTTTTTTCTCAACGGAAGCCTAGGCCATCATGCGACGCTCACACACATACTAGGGAGGGGATATGTGTGTTTTCGCTCTACGTTCCTTCCCTCTCGCACCTACATTTATTTTTCTTAACACGTACGCGTTATTTTTCTTAAGTCCTAATCTCGTTACGTACTTATCAAAACATTCGTACCAATCCCTCGGACTTTCTTTTAACCCATAAAGCGCTTTTGCTAATTTACATTCCATTTGTCCCGTCTACATATCCTTTTGATTCATAATATTACGTTCGCTACTGTTTATTAAGTACTAAGTACTAAGTTTACTAAGTCTTCCTTTTCAATATGCTTTTCATTTTATATGTCCTATTTTCCTTGAACGCTACTGCTGTAAGTCTGTGATTCTGATCTATTCTCATTTTCGCAATATTTCCTTTTGAAATAACCGTATTATTAACTAATCAGATTCACAGACATTTCTTTCGCGTAAAACGCTTTATTCATATTTATTTCATCCTGTCTTCCAAATGCTTCAAAATAACTTATGACATTTCCAACTTTTGTTGCTTTTACCAGTCTATTATCACCTAGGTATATATTTACTGGTTCTTTAAGATCAATACGTTTATCAAAATAGTTCACGTTATTTATTATGTGATCGGTGAAACTCGAATGTCTTTGATCCGATTTGTTTCTTTTGTCGCCCCTTGATATCCCCACTACGCACGCGTCCGTTAAGCGTCCGCGACCGTTGTTACGTACGCCTTCTTCCAATTATTCGGCGGAAGGATCGTAGGGATATCGATGGCTCATTAGGCGCGTCGGCTTTATATTTCGGTGATATGCTTTGTATCGACGAAACCGTCGGAAAGTTTCGCCGCCGGCTGCCGCTACAGGTACAACCGCTGTCTAGCAGCCAAACTATTTCGTCATCATCTAAATTGTTTACCTCGCTGCTGTGTGCTGTGTGCGTTTTTGTCATCCATGTGCCTGCTCCTGAGTTGCTCTGTTCGTTCGTGCCTGCTGCTTGTTGACGATGCAAGTTTCAGCGTCCCCTGCTCGTATAGCCTTTACCCTCTCTTCCTCTGTCACGACCACGCGATGATTTACGCCAACAACCGTTATTGCTTCCCACTTGGACGCCATTTTGACACTCTCTCGCAAATTTTTTTCTTTTTTTTTATTTACAAGTACTTTACAATCAATTCTCGCATTGAGAATTTTGAGTAAGTTTCTCTGGCGTGGCGTAGTGACATGGCTAATTATTTATAATAAGTTAATACACTTATTAACTTATTATGAGTAAGTACAATTTATAAATAAGTATAGTTTATAAATAATAATATTATAAATAAGTAAATATTACTTATTAGAAATATCCAGCTGAATCTAGTGTTGAGGTCTAACGGATAGTGTTTTCTTAGCCTGCGGATCTGGTCCGACGTATTAAGTAATTTAGTAATTAGGGGGTTTCGATGTTTGTTAACTCTTTTGATATATCTATTACTACATTTTGTTATTTCTTCTTTGACTGTGGGTATCTTGAGGTCACGATGTATTGCTTCGTCGGTAACATACCAGGGTGCATCTATTAGGGATCTTAGCGTTTTCGATTGCAAGCGTTGAAGTATTTCAATGTTGGAATTACTTGCTGTACCCCATAGTTGGATTCCGTAGGTCCAAACAGGCTTTATTATGGTCTTGTAGAGTGTAATTTTGTTCTGCGTGCTTAGGTTGGAACGTCGGCCAATGAGCCAGTAGAATTTTTTAAGAGTAGCCTTGAGTTACTTCGATTTGCCTGTGATGTGTTGTTTCCATGTTAATCTTCTGTCCAGAGTCATGCCCAGGTATCTGACTGAATCCTTGTTAGGAATTGTTATATCGTTAATGGTCACCTGTGGGCAGGTTTGTTTCCTCAGCGTGAAGGTTACTTGTGTGGATTTGTTTTCGTTAATTTTGAAGTCCCATTTGTGAAACCACTTTTCCATAGAGTCGAGACATCGCTGGAGAGTGAATGATGCGATTATCGGGTCTGCGTGGGATGCTAGTAGCGCTGTGTCGTCAGCAAATGTCGCTACAATTATTTCTGTTAATATTGGTAAATCGGCAGTGTAGATGGAGAACAGGGATCTCTAGGGTGATTTCTAATTTTAATATTATTATCGCGAGCATTTATCATCATATTGTATTTATTTTAACTATATTTAAATACGTTACATTTTATATTTTATTGCAATTACAATTTGTATATATGTATACTTATTTTTACATTTCATGTTAATATTAACATTCTTATGACATTTCTTTCGTCGTGGATGAAATTAATTTATGTATATATTAACAAAAAATGTTCAAAAGCCATTAATAAAAAGGAATACATATAAACAATATGGACTACGAACAAAGACATTTTGTAATATGATTCATGTCCTATAAAAACGTTTAACTTTTTAGAAGCATTAGATATTGGTATTTAGTAAAGCGTACATTAGTACAGAAGATTTTGCAAAATAAGTAGAACTATAAAAATTTGTATTACAACGGCAAAAGAGGGATAACACCTTTTAGTAAACAATAACTGTCATATCTCACGCTGGAAAGTTAATTTTAATTTTCTAAGACTAAAGAACAAAGTTTCTATATCTCAGAAGCAATTTACAGTACTCATTTATCGAAAAATGAAGGATGCATTACTCAGATACGCAATATTTATAAATAAATCATATTATTTATGATACGCAATACTCTAATTTTGTAGTAAATAAAAAAAAGGGAAATAATATATAGATAAATTCTTTATTATACACGTGTTTTATTTTAACATACATATATTATACACGTGTGAATTTATTTTAAAATACTTTGCAAATGGTATAGCATGCTCGTAAATCAAACATGCATACATGTATATCACTACACGCCTGACAATTACTCAGCACCTACACTAGCGCTTCAACAAGCGTGATAGCAAGAAACAAAATTAAGCAACCATATATTGCAAGTATTGAAAAACAGAATAAAATAAAATGTGTATTTTAACAGTTCCTTTATTTCTTCATATCACTATGTAAAATAAAAACTACAGGAAAGCTATCTACCCTCCGATTTCAATGACTTTGGACAGGTTGTAGAAATCGATATTTTGGACAATTTTTCTCTATACATGGAACTGACAGTCTCGCTTGGTTTACGAAATGTTTGCGAAAAACTGCCAGTATCACTACTGTGAATTCTACCTGTAACGTCTGTGGTAACATATGCGTCGGTATTGGTTGCCGGCTACCGGCCGCTTATCTTTTGGTTCTAAACAAGTGTTAGGCGAGCTTAAAGGTCCCGTACACAACTGCGTATGCGAGGCTGCAGGAAATACCTGTTATAACTCAATTAAAAGTGGATATCATCACTGATGTATTGGGATTAAGTTTGAATTGGATTTTTCAGTCCGATCGCCGCTAGGGAGCCGGCAACGCTTCCATGAAATAATAATAAATTAATTATAAAAATATACGACACTTTTAAATGTTCACTAGTTTTCTTTTCCGTGTCATATGGTGTTAAAATGTTAGTTTTTCTTTGTGCTTCGATGTTGGAATTCGTTCAAACATTAGCATTTTTTTTCTTTTTATATATCTCTTCATATATGTATACGCATAATATATAATATATATTTTTAACCGTTTTTTTATATTTGTTATTAGTATTTATTAAAACTCCTTATTTTTACAATTAATTTGTTATCATTTTATGCGAGCGTTGCCGGCAGCCTCGCCGGACCGGATTGAAAGATTTAACCCTAACCGAAACCCAATATATATTGATGGTGTACACTTATAATTGAGTTACAACAGACATTTCATTCAGCTTCACATATGTAGTTGTGTATGGGGCCTTTAAGCTCGCCTGACTCTCGTTTAGAAACGAGAGATAAGCTGCCCGTAGCCGGCAACCGACACTGACGTATATGCTGCCACAGATGCATAACTAGAAGTAAAATTCACTGTAGTGTCACTATCATTAAGTAATTTTCCCGTAGTTTCATCAAAATAAATACTGAACGATCGAAACGTTTAATTAATTTCTACATCAGTAATTCAAATGTAATTTTCAATTTATTACTCGTTGTTTTTGTTATCAATTGTTGTTTTGCATATTCCAATTAAATACGATAAAGAATAACATGAATCATTTGCGCGTAATTTATAATAATTGACAATGCAGGTTTGTTTGCGACTTATATAACAATTTTAATTAATGATAACAACGTCTTCCAACGATAAATTTACTCATTCGGGGAAGCGCAAGTATACATATATATAATGTATAATATTTAAATTAAAGTTGTGTAGTTAGTTTGAATCTATCAACCTGATCTGTGCAATCGGAGAGTCCAATTCTTAAAACTAAAGATTTCTTGGATATTCTGTGCTGTGATTCAATCATATTTACTTAACAATTATTTTATTATATATGTCTGTTTTCACCATGAATGAAATAATTTAAAAGTCTCTTAACTTTGCTCTTATACAGAGCGTTTTATTAAGTATTTTATGTAGTAATTAAGAATGTTATTTACAAAAGTTATTTCGCTATAAAAATACAATGACGACAAACAATGGCGCTGATAAATTTTTTAGGAAGAGATTCATATTAATTCTTAACAAAAAGAAATTTCATATTAATAACTTTTTCATTCAGTGATAACGTTGTCAATATGATATTTTCATTCGAAAAATAAATATATATGCTTTCTACTTATAGAAAAAATATGAAAAATTCAATACAGATAAAAATGGCTATTCTAACAAATTTTATATTTCTAATAATAATCTTTAAATTTATTACACTTATATTTATATACTTGAGGTGGGCAATGTTGATTCAGCGCCCTGTATATTAAATGGAAATTGAGATTCAATTTTATTACTATGAAATTTTATTACTATGCTTTTATGAATTATTTATGCTCAATATTATATTTTGTAAATTATTATATTGCGCATATTTAGTGAATACATGAATTAATGTGTATCAGAAAAATATTCTTAACAATTTTTTATGAATTTCGTAATTTCATGAATTTTAAAACTCGTGAAAATATTAATAAATAAATACCTATTGGATGAGTATAATTTTTTTTGAGTATTGAATACAACTTGAAACATAATTCAAACTGTATAAAAATTTCGTTGATACATCTTCAGTGACTGTCACAAATTAACGTAGTTCAGGAAAATATCTTTAATCACTTTTTATAGATCTTTTTTATAAATATAATGTTGTTATTTTTGTATTCAGAGGTAGGATCACAATAGCTATTATTTTATTCTTTGGATAAATTTATCACAGCGTTCTGAGCCGAAAAACCTTTATTGCGCTTTCTTACATGGACTAGGGATAAAAACAAAAGAACATCTTAAACCTATCGATTAAATCTATCGATTATATCTAGAACTATCTTCTAGTTACTATTTATTGTAACTAGTGCATCTGCATATGGATGGCGAGCGCGAACTCACGTTGTCATTTTCAACATCTAATATCACGAATTTTTAAGTTCATAAAATTAATCAGTTATCAAATAGATTAAAAATACAGTCAATTTCATGAAATATGAATAAACTTCACTGTGATATCACATTTCCTCTATCACGAGCCTTTCTGAATCGGTAAGTTTTCCAACTCTAGTTCAGTGATGGCCCGCATTCTTCGGTAACAGCGTGCTATGCTATGCGTTCATCTTAGTCGGTAAGTCAGTTCGTTTACTAATATCGATAGCCAACTTAGTTAATCACAAAAATATTGTATAATTTTCTACATTAGGTATAAAAATATTCGACAATTTTAATAAAAGAGTTAAACGTAAATTCTAGTGTTCAAAAATTTAAAAATTACATGAAAAAGGAAAGTTAGATACATATCTATTAGATATAATAATTGCAAGTAAAATGAAACAAAACTTCTACAGTTTGTCTGTAAAAAGGTTTTCTTCTATTTTTTCATAATAATATCTTATGTTTATATCGATATTTTTGTTTCTATTATACATATACAAAACAACTTATTTTGAAAATTGGTAACATTAAGAGTAATATTAACAAAAAAAACTGTTTTGGTTAGCTCAAGTACCAAATTTGAAGTTGAGAAAGGTTGCACATTGAGAAAGTATAATCCGAATGAATATTAACTTCACATTAAAGAGTGTTTTAACGCTTGCTTATAAATTTCTACAAAACGTATTGTTGAAAGTATTCGGTAAGCGTTTAACAAATTTGAAAACATATATTAGGATAGAATGTACATTATATATTTTCTAGTTAATTTTGCTTTCCAATTTTTAGATATAATTTCACATCTTGATCTGTTCTTCACATTCTATTGATTTTATATTTTTAGTTGAAGAAACTAAAACTCAAACTCTTTATTACTATAATTTGTCATCATTTATGTTACTTAATTAAAAAATTGGAATGAAATAGCAATAGTATTTTTAATATATATTGATGGAACAAATATGCTTTAACACAGAATAACTAGATATATACCTATATACTATAATAATAATATGTGTGAGTACATATTATTTACAACTAATATAAATATTAAAAACGAAATGAAACTTTAAATTGCAGAAATTACAGTGCAAAGTAACCAACGCTGTTCTAACATATGATAATTATACATATATCTACATTAGCTGTGCTACAATAATTATTGGATTGCAGATTTTTATGTAAATTCATATCTCTATGAAGTTACAATTGAAGAAACGGACCTAAGTAGAGATTTATTTCATTTTTTAAATATTATAACTTAAACTTTGTGCAATTTTCTCTAAATATCTTATACATTGTTGGATATAATGTACATTCTGCACATGTTTGTACATTTAAACTCGTCTTAAATGTATAAATAACTGGAGTCTAGTAATTACACAAATTCATAATCTACAGCATCATTTTTAACGTATAATGTTGTACAAGAACTTCTGGCCAGATAGATTTATCGTTTTAGATTTCAAAAGCAATATCTGAAAAAAACTTAACTAGTATTACATATAAGGACATGTCAAATAAAAAAAAAAAACAATACAACAAATAGGGTACCAATTAGGGTAGACCATGTTCTCCGATTTTCAATTTTTTGCCACATCTGCTAAAATAACAATATTTGAGGAGAAAATGATATCTGCAAAATTTTAGAATAATTGGACGAAGGATACTCGTATAGCATTTAATTTAATGTTTCGAAAATTAATACTCCTGCTAAAAGTTTAAATATAAAACCATTGATTTATTTTCCGGGGCAACTGTATGTATTCCTAGAAAAAGATCAGTAATCAGTTTTTACGCGACCACCATTATTTTTTAGCGTTTTCTTTATGTTTGTCTCGTAACACTCAGCCAAGCTATACGCTGTCCACCGTGGACTAATATTCACTACTTGAAAAACAAAGAAGTCTAAAAATTATTTAAGTGTCAATTATATTTTGCGGTAATGATTTCGTTTAACAATTTCACATATTGTTTATACAAAACATCAAATTAAAAGTATATATTAAAAGTACAAAAGATATAGGTAAAATTAAAACATTAAAGATGACTAAAGATAAATAACACGACTTGAACGTGAAATAAAAAATTCATAATGCATTTTAATATTTTTTTACAGCGTGGTATCGTTCGATTATAACTTTATTTAGTCATAACTGATAGTGTAACTTTTGAATTCATTTTAACACCACTAAATTGGTGTATTTTATTATATACTGTACTTTGTGAAAGCAGAAAAAGTGTCGCGATTAATTGGGAACAATTCCAGTAAGCAATAAGTGATAATAACAAAAGAAAAAAGAAAACACGTTGCTAAAGTCAAGAAGGGCGATGTTCTTCACAGAGGGGTGATCTCCCCTGCTCGGTTGGCTTAAGTCGTATAAGCAGCTTATATTTAAATCGTATGTCGGAATAGTTGAAATTTATGTTTTATTATTCTTTTATCATAGCTTTTTCTATTGCAGTGGCACATTATTGGCTGGTTATTTAGATTTTATCTAGATATATGAATGATTCCAGTGGTATTGCGTATATCTGTTTTTTTCGTGATATTGTGAATTGCGGTAGATCGAGCTGTACATTAGGCTATTTGTGTTGATATTGTGTATGTTTGACCAATGATTTCGTATTAATCTTAGAACGAATAAATCTATGCGAATCGTTGAAGCTTGCAATGCAATTTGTTCTTACACTTTTGATGTAATTGAACTCCGGATAACAGGCTCCGAGGTACTTTCATTCAAACAGACGTAACTTATCCACCGTGCTTGAGCAGATGTTGCAAATCGGGAAACATTACGTTAGAATTGGTCTTATCAATAACTTGTGGCATAGTATTTTCACTTTACTGCGGCAATTGTGTACAGCAAATGCTCTTGTATTTTCTCTATTTGTCTTTCTGTGTACACGTTGTGATTCAGCTTAAACTCCATATGTACGCTCAAATAGCGAATTACTTCTCTGCAAAATGCGAATAAGTTGCTATTGTTACTGTTATTTAGGTGGAATTTGTTGGCGTAAGTGGAGATGATTGGAATAAAATTTGCTCCCATTTGTTTATATTAATTTTTAGTTTCCACGTGTAGAAGTAGTTGTGTATTACGTTAAATATCTATTGTAATTGACCTTTAGCTCTTTATATTTTATTGTCTCTCGCCTATATCAGTAGGTCGCTCGCGAATGCTATTGCCCCTTTAGTTTTGTCGCTATTGGGTCTTACATTTGAAGTAAATCGTTTATGTGTAGATGCTCTCCAAATGAAGTTACCCAGGCCGGCGGCGAATATTTCCTTCCTTAAACCAGGCTGTTGTCACGTAAAATTCGTGATAAAAAAAGGAAGAGCTGAGCAATAGCTTAACTTGACCGTCCTTTTATATTTTCATATGCTTCTATTCACAAAAGTGATTAAGTACAATGTTACAATGAAGTACAGTGAAGTTACAAAGTACAAAAATAGTTGTTGAAATCGCGGCCAAGACTGTACCCAAGTCTAGTCTCGTGGTCGAATGTTCGCAGTCTTTATATGTTGAGTTTGTTGGAGTTGAGGGACAAGGAGAGGGTCCTGAGTGCCCTATGTAGTGGTGTTGGGCCATGTGCAAAGGTAAGGTCAAAGTCTAAAGGTTCATTGTCAGGTAGTGTGGAATGACGTGGATTTGGGTATGGTCGCTGTCACACTGTCGTTTACATTATGAATTAGACATTACATTATTTATTTTTGACGGTAAAACTCAACAATTTGTAACGAGTATATTTCTGATAGTACTGTAGAGGACTTGTATAGCGGATGTTCGATCGTGAGATTTATTAGATGTTATTACTTGTTGTTGAAACCATCGAATATATTTAAAATAATAAATTAGTATACAGGCTATATTCGCTGAGTCGCTCGTACAGTGTATAAATCGCAAAGTAAGATCGCTAATTAATACTCGATCAAGTTATCGAACTTTTTAATGGTGTTACTGGATGAAACAGCAGGTAATAATTATACGGTAAGACAACTAAATAACAATCATGTTAAGATATAAGCTAATTTGACAGAAGTCTATATCAAAATAGTTGTAGCTGTGAGAGAAAAAAATACTAATTTCTATATGTCGGAGATGTAGGGACATCGGGCCTTTCTTTTGGAATTTTGGCAAGATCCCCAATACTTTGGTCCAAACTATTCATTATAGCTGTACTGAAATAATAGAACTTGGAAGTAGTTATTGCGATACGAGCTGATTATGTTTGCCCAAGGTTTGTGACAGTGGGTTTGGGGTCGAGGTGACACAACTGGTAACCGAACGTAGCCACGGTCGCGGGATGAACGTTTTTACTTAACAGTAGAAGTACCAATATCGAGGGACACACGCTGCATTAACAAACAAGCCCCGCGGCACGAGCAGTGACCGTTTCACGGGGGTCAGCCTAGTAACGGCGCCTGGAATTTTGTCGATAACCTCGGTCAATACGCAATTGACAAATGCGATCGCGTCAGTCTTTTATTCTTACGATCACCTTGGAGAGTTTGCACACAACGTCTGATCAATCAGTCAGAAAGATACCGTGCGTCACAGCTAACGTCATTTTGAGTTTCAAAACATATTCAATTGTACAAAGAGTTATCCCGTTGACCGTGGAATCGTTTGAACCTAAGAACATTGTTTTTACTTTAAGAGTGTCTAATAATCACGTTAAATTGTTAAACCCTGTTAAATCAACACTTGTACATATAATTGAAAATATAAAACTCATTGAACGACAACGATGGCTTGTCCTAATGAAGATACGCAACGCGCCCCTATACGTAATATAAGATGGTAGTAATTGTAAGAAAAATGCAGCTCAAAACAGACGATGGTAGAATTGTTAATGAAATAAACAAACTCAAGCAGGTAGGGTAAATAAATAATATAAAATACGTTACAAAACAACCATTACTGCTATTCTTCATAGAACTTGGACCTAATGAAAATAACAAAAAAATTTACAAAATAAATAGACCTTTAAGCACTGTAGTTCCTTTCGAGTCTCCTAAAGATAAAATGGATATTTTCCAATACATACAATGTCTATCTTACGGCCGTACTAAAAACTATTGCTTCAGAGCACCAGCTATGTTAAGCGCGCTAATAAACACTTCACCTCGGCATGTCTCTTGCAACACAAAATAGTAAATGTAAGTTGCTAAAGTTGTCAGAGAAATCATTCTGCTAGTTATAAAGGATATAGCAAGAAACCCCCAGAAAAAACTCTATCTCACACTTAAACGTAAAACAATTAGTAACAATTATAATACACTATCGCAAAACTGCATATTAGATCACAACAATAATACATACATTCAACAAACTAATGGTATCAAAACTTATGTACAGGCAATTTTATCTTTACAAAACAACGATCAAGACAACGATCTTTACAAAACACAAAACTTGTAACCGATACGCTCCTCGAACAAATAAAATTGCTACAGCAACAATCATAAGTGATAAGTACAATGATACAACTACTCACCACCGTGATTCTAAAGAATAACTAATGGCCACTAATTTAAAGATTGCGATCTGGAACGACAGTGGATTGTTACGAAAAATCCGGGAACTAAAAGTTTTCTTACACACTAACGAAATAGATATTCAACTCATGTCCAAAACGCTTTTAACACTATACTACCACACCAATGAAATTGACTGGTTTTACAATTTTATTTTTAAATTCCTACTTCATGTTATATTGTTTTTCCGCAATGATGTAACGACTTTCGCAACGATAACTAAAAGAATAATATAATGAATTTTATTTTGTTTCTTATGTATTCAAACTCAAAACAATTTCGTATCAAGGTTACTTACACCAACACCAGTCAAAAAGGTTGCTGGTACTTGTCAAAGTGTAAAAGGGTCCTGCGATCTGTTTATCGAATCCCAATTAACCAGTTTCCTCGTTTTCTACAACTTCCCATACGTTTTTCAAATTTTTACCGCGTATCGTTCGATATGACGATATCAGATGTTAGAAAAATTCCGGATCGATCGCTAGATCGTTAGATGCTAACGCTAGAAATACCACACCAGTCAAAACGAGTGGTTCTACAATTTTATAAATTTGTCAAGCCTTGTTTAGGAATCGTGGTCCCAGATGGATCAATAATACCAAAAATCTACTACAAACATGGAATTCCTTCTGCAAGAAAGTAATAAATCAATAAATATAAAAATATTCTATTATTACGTATTTTTTAAAGATCAGTCATTTTCACTGGTTTTGGTAGAAATAGCTTCGTGTTAACTATCGGTAGTTTTGGTGTTAACAGATAAAAATTACGTGAAAATACCATTGTATGCTGTTTACGATATCAAATGTCCATCGAGCGAAGCTCATGGCGGCTATAATCATTTTTATAATAGCACTAAACATGTTTATCTACAATCTACCACAGCAACCACCGTAACCTCTCAAGGTTAAATTAATTTATCCGCAGTGTACTTTTTCCTAAGCATACAGACTACCTGAAAAACGTTACTCCAATTTTTCCAAATCCTTAGAAAATAAATTTCTCGCTGATGATGACTCTAATGCCAAGTATATCCTATGGGACTCCAAGATAAACTCGCCTAGAGATACGACCCTAGGTCATTTAGTGTCCTACCCATAGATGAAGTCACGTACCATCTGCCATCTGCGTACGACAGATCTTCACTACCAGATTTTTCAGTTATTAAAGTAATAAATTATACTCCTTTCAAGATCGAATCGAACTTGAATCTCAGCTTTGACCATTCGCCAATCTCGCTTACCTACTTATACAAACCTGTGCTCATTGCAAAAACACTTCCCCTCTGCAATAAAATTACAAACTGGCCATTCTTCAAGAAGTTCCTAGAAGAAAACATTACTTGCAATATTCCGGTAAAGAATGCTGAGCATATTGAATTAGCCATAAGCAAATTTACCAGCCTAATCCAAAAGGCTAGATGACTCGCTACTAAACGCTTCAGTGATATTAGACAAGTAAACGCTTAATCTCAGTACATTCTTCGAACAATTAAACGCAAAGTAAAATATATCTGACAGAGACACAAAAGCATCATAAACGAGAAAAAACTTAATGCAATTATCAAGGAAGTTAAACAATTAATACAAAATCAGTGTAAAGATCAATTCTAATTTTACATCTCAAGCCTCTCGCTTAAAGAGGACATAAACTATTTGCTCCGAAAAGCTACCAGAAGGCACAAAAGCACAGTTTGTTCCCTTTCGGTTATTCAAAAAGCGAACGGTACGTGGGTGAAGAGTCCCTTAAAAATATCATGCCATTCACTGAATAACTCCACAGTACGTTGCAATGCAATGAATCAAATATCGCTTTAACCCATTTGCATCATGGCCCTACTTCGCAGGACTGGTCCTTATCACTGCGCGTGGACGGTCGTAGGTGCAGTAAATGACATCCGAATTCTTCATGGAATTTATCGAAAATTTACTGTTCAAAACGATTGTTAGACAATGTTACTTCGCAAAAATCGCATCTTACATTCTTTGTAACAGAGGAAGAAAGATTATTTACTTAAAATTATTTACTTAAAAAAAAAAAATTATTTAGATTAAAGTGGAAATAAAAAAAAGCAGTCGTAGCGCGCGGATTAATCTGCGCTTGGATGCAAATGGGTTAAATAATTTTTGGGCGGCTCTATATACTGCAATAACATCCGAAAATCCTTAAGTTATTGAAACTTCTATAGCGGCACGTGAGCTAGACGACAATTCGAATCATGTTGTTTTGTCTGGGAGTATCAACATCGTTAGGACATACATAATGTAATAATAAATAAACTCCAGGCAAAACAATGTCACCGGTACGTGCAACCGTAAAACAAAGTCGGATTTAAATTTTCCGACACTCCCCCGACCAGTATAAATAAACGAACGCGATCGTAAGTGAACAGTTTACCAGTCGCAGTCTCCATCGATCTTATTAGCGATCTATACACAGTCTTTAGCGAATCTGTTAGTATCGATCGTCTTAGCGAACATTTATGAAATATTTTAAAATATATTTGACGGTTTTCAACATCGAGTTATCTCGTCATTTAAACCACACGACCAATCGTCCTCTACACTTCGCAATTAAACAATACTTTGCTATCGCTTATTAAATCATACCTGGACAATAGAATATTCTTTGTTCAATACATTCAATAAAGATACTGTTTCTGACCTATACGCTATCACTGTTCTAATAGTAATAATAGTCTAATAGTAATATCTTCTGGCCTGCATTGTACACTCTATATGTATGCAACCGATATCTCGACCAGCTATGAAACTATTTTATTTATATTCGCGGATGATACAATAATTCTAGCCACCGACGAAGATCCTAAGATTTTATCAACATTGTTGCAACAACACATACGATCGCCAGAGCACCGACTAAATTAGTGGAAAAAGAAATATACTGATACACGTAATCACATCACTTCCACGTTAAGAACGAACAACCATACCACCATTGCATATCGTGAATGGATTGTATCCCAGACCCAACTGGTTAAATACTTTGCGTTACGTCTTCGCTCCAAGCGAACGCGAAGCTAATCTATACGCAAAAAGATCCAACAAATTCGACTCAAGAAGAAAGAAGTATTCTGATGAAAGCAGCAGATATCTGAATTAGGCTTAGAAAACAAGTTACTTACATATAAGTTTATTATTGAACCAAACTGCACATACGACTTTCAGTTGTGGCACATAGCAATGAAAAGTCATACGATTGTCACGTTTTATTGAATTGCCGCGTTTGCTTGAACGTGAATTTAATCAACAAATTGTATGCACACGAGTAGCGAGTTAACTAGCGTTTAATGCAACTGGCAATAAATTCCACGTTTCGATTAACCTGCTATGTGCGGGAATACTGGCACGGGAAAGGATTAAAGTTGTTCGAAATAAATTATCGATATGCAACGATTTATTCGAATCTTACTCGATTTCTATATTGACAATTGACTGACAGACTGACGGATGTAAAACTCTTCGGTTGATAAAACGATGATAACTAACTGCTCTAAGTCGCTACGTTTATTTATATCTGTTGGAGATGAAAGGACATCGGGGTCTTTTTTTGATATGTTTGGCAAGATCCCTAATGTTTGTTCAAATTACCAACCTTGTTTACAATTTTAAATTTTCTTAGTATCGTTAGGTAAATTCATCACGAAATATAGCTTTTTTTCGAGTCGCGGGTCGCGCGTTTCAATTTTGTTTTCGCGTTACGTAACAATGGTAAAGCTTAAAACTAGCCGAAAATATATTCAGAACGATGGTAGATGCACCATGATACGTTCGAAGCGATGAAAGTAGTAAAGGTCTTCAGATAAACTCTATTATAGAGGAAATAATACGATTATGCAGCCGATATAATTTAAGGCTAAATGAATATCTCAACGCACTAACAAGAGGTTGATCCGATTAACACGTTGGTCGCCCAGCGTGATGCGGCTAAGTTTCCTGCGGAGCCCAAATCCGACCGCCGATACGCAGAACGTAAATAGAGCGACAAGCGGGAATTCATTGTTTACCGCCTTTGATTCATTGTAAAAAAGCATTATTTAGTTCTGAAATGGAGAAAGCGATAAGCTTTCCAGCTAGAGTATTCCGAGGGATCTCGTGGCAGATATCTCAGATCTTTCATTTGGTCGAAAAGCATACTTGTGAGACGTACATCAGTGATTTTTTCATCCTGAAAATGTTCAGTAAACAGCGTGAAAATATATTTGAAAGTGAGGAGAGTAGCGATGACGAAGTCTACAATTATTGTTCGAAGTGCCCAAAATCGGCCCAAATACGTTTGGAACGTTTAAACAAATACCATGCGATATAGCATAATGTAATATTTTATCCAGAATACGAATTAATAGAAAGTACGGTATAATATGTTTTTAATATTTTCATGTTGTATATCCTATATATAATATCCTATATGAGGTGAAGCGTTTAGAGTCTCAGTACAACTATCACAGTCACCTCTTAAACTTTCACTCACGTCGAGGTCACCAATTTGAGGTGGAATGGTGTGATAGGCACTGAAGTACACTCGGTGACGTTTAACCACTAACGTTTATTAAACAAATAACAACAACGTACAGTCTGCAATTAACATCGGTTAATTGTTAACGTCGATACGCAATAGCGTCGCTCGGTCGGTTTCTCGGTGAAAACGTGGCCGTTTCTTTCGACTTTCTCGTCACGCGGTTCGGGGCCGAATGTCTTATTTTTTCGATCGAACTGACTCTTTCCGTTGCCCATCGGTATCCCCCCTGGCGTGCTTTTGTTTCAGTGCCTTCGTGGCTGTCGCCTGCATGCCCTTCGGAGAAATTCGGCTGGAGGAGCGTGAGGATACCGATGGCAGATTGAGTGCGTCATGTCACGTTTTGTGTCGCGGAGCCGTTAGAAAGTTCCGTAGTCCTTGTCGCCACATATATTTAATTAACTCGGACAAGAAGAGCGTCATCCATACTTGGGTGACGGGGCTTCCACGGAAGTATACCCGTCACATAAATACGGGTGACACGACGACCAACGTGTTAATTAATTCGAACAACAAGATCCATATTTGGGTGACGGGGTCCCCACGGAAGTATACCCGTCACATAGATATGGGTGACGTGGCGTCCAACGTGTTAATTCTGTAGACGTCGAAAAAGAAACACCCTACGTCAACGATAAGTTCAACAGTCATCGATGAAATATACTTGTGTATAAACGTAACCTTGCCATTTAAAGGGAAGGTAAGCGTCTTTGTGATACATATTCTCAGCCTGTTATGGCAATTTGCTTGAATTTATCAATGTCCTGTTTGGACAAACTCTAAAGAAATTATGTGCTTCTATCGCACGAATTTGATGAGATAAGAAGTTTATCTTGGTTTGTTTATTCGCTCGTAATATTAGTTTTTGTGTAGCTGATAAAGGTTAATCGCAGTGTAATTTGATGGATATCGGAGGAACTCTACGATAATATGTTACAAGAATTGTTGTTTTTGGTGAGACGCGAAGAATTTTAATTTATCATATCAAATTAAAATTCCGGAGATTGCATATTTAGGAAATTGTATACATTTTTTACATAGGACCATTTACGAGTATTAAATGCAAAAATTATAGTGAATTTTCTTAAAGAATTGTGATATTTTAACTCTTTATAATAAAGTAGTACATATTGCGGTCAAAGAATTAAATAAATCAATTGTTTAACGGATACAAGTTATTAGGATTTGGATAAGTAAAATCTCCAATTTATTCATGAGATTAAATTAAAGAGAAAAATAACTTATAATCAGTTAGGATTGATATGTTACACGAAACCTTGAATTTGTAAATGTTGTAAATGTCATAAGTGTTAAATGTTAAAAGCAGTTACTTTTTGTTGAAAAGTTATTATCTTCTTAAGATGCTCTTGGCTAACATATTAGAGTTATTCCAATAATTAACAACCGTTACAAAGATAAAAGTTTTGTTTTTAATCTGTGTTCGATAGAATCAGGATAAGAATAAGACAAAAATTGAAGAAGAAGGTTTAGAGGTAGAGTATTATTGATTAATTGAATTCGAATTGTACAGCTAATATCGGATAATCGAAAGTTCGATTAAGAAATAGCATAGCATCCTAAAGAACGTGAACTTTCTTAGCATATTTTCTTCGTATCTCCTATTTGTTGGAGATTAATCGCTATGGTGAAATATTTTTGTTTGAAAATACCAGCAAATACGGAATCACTATAAATACTAAATATTACGGTTCTTAAATAATTAAAGCTTGCCAATTTTTTGAACGAATATTATTTTATATAATTCCTAAAGCAATATATTTTTAAAAATAATTCTCAATATTTTAAACAATTTTTCTGATGTAAATTGCAGATATTTATGCAAATATATATTTTTATAGAATGCAAGTAGAAACCTAGATATTTGTAATGTCATTATAGAATATGATTATAAGATTATAAGAATATGTTCCTTATTTTGAATTTTTCGTTCCTTTTTTTGGATTTATATTTAAAAACACATGCAAGAATATATTGCATATCTTGTACCTATGTGATACATTTATCTCATTAAATCGTCAACTGTGGATCACACGAAAATTTAAAATTTTCAATTGTTGATTAAACGTTAAGTTTAATATAGTAGCTTATAATATAAACTAATATAGTAATGCATTGTGGAGCAACAACCTTGATCACCTTAAATATCTTAGTTCTTTTTAGAAGTATAGAAAAACTTTGCTTATAAAAGTTGTACGGTACAAAGATGGCCATAATATAACAATAATAATTTTTTGTAGGTGAAAGGTTTTCAGAGATTTCAAGGATCCTCCATATTTTTTAATTTAAATTTCGCTTCCTTACTTTTTTATTCCTACCCATTCCACTTTACATACTTTTTTTTATATCTTATAGAGTAAAAAATGTTTAGACGATTTCTACGAACCCTAGAAAAATAACAAATCTTACATCATAATAAACGTTCGAAATGATGCCTATTTGCATCGATTCAACATTGAAATCGTAAGATTGCCGAAACCACTTCTTGTCATTTCTGATTTGTTTATGGTACGTGTTGCGATAAATATTTGTCTTGTATCTAGTGGTGTTAGCTTCTCCACATACTATGTAGTATTTCTTAATATTCTCCACAAAAAGAAATCCAGTGGTGTTATATCGGAAGAACGAGCTGGCTACGAAATTGGATCGCTATGTCCTATTCATCGATTCGATAATAGGAAGCACTCTTACGGTTCTCTTATGTTTTGCCTCGTGATACAAATATCCACGTGTAACTATGTGCAATGACCAATGCAGGCAGAGTATTACAAGATGCGAGTGAAAAACTCATTGCACCGTACGACTCGATACTTCCGGATAAGTGCACGGACTTTGGCAATCCGACGATTGCAAAGTTGCATCGATGCAAACGAACTAGAGACAAAAAGATACGGCAAACAATGAAAAAAGAACGGAGGTCACCTTGCAAGAAAATTATTACTCCCATGTCGTACGTCTTTTGTCAACAAAGTTTCCCCATATTTCTAGAAGGTGATCAAAGTTATTACACCCACCTTGTATAGTAAGAAACGGTAGGCGATGATATATGCACTATGTAGCAAAAGGCAACGTACAAAAAGTTTTCTTATTATTTGAAAAGACAGACAAGTATTATATCTTTCACGCAGATGTTATCAGTAATCTGCAAACTTGATGACATAACATGGCTGTAACATATCATAATTGCAAAAGTATTGTTAAATATCTATTATTAAATACTGTATTGTAGATAATATTTCATATATCAAAGTTATGTTTGTATACTGGAAACATTGGTAATATGTTTTATATATTTTTAGTGTATTTTATATATTTGTACGTTTTACGTGCATAAATATTCGAATTCTATTTGAGTTAATAAGATTATATAAATATGTATATAATATAATATAATATTATAATAATACATATAATGATATTTTCAATACATAATAATAGAAATAATAGCAACAGTAATACATACAATAAATATTGATAGAAGTATGATAATAGTTCAGTTTAAAAAATATTTCTGAAATTGAATACAACTATGAAATTGGAATATTTCTACTTCAGCATCGAAATAATCACGTCCCGTGATATTATAGATTCGATGGTAGAAGACTACCGTTTTACCCAAAACAACTACTTTTTCAATTAACGTTCGTTGAAACTTTGCTAACCTTGGAAAAAAGGAACGAAAGGTACTAGGCGGTGTCACGAATTGCTCGCTGATATATTGACAAGATCCGGTAGTGAAGAAAGTTTACAACATGCTGAAGTTTCGAGCGCCGGGACAACGAAAGTGCAGCTACACGGTGAGAATCTTAAACGCCAAAGTAGAGTTTAATGAGTAAATTTTGATAAAGTGGGCTTTATTTTTCCGCATGCCTTTCGAACAGTTTAGGGACAGGTATATTTTGACGAACGTAGAATTTTTGATAGGATAGAAATTTGCAACAACTCAGGAAGATAAGTCCGCAATCTGAACATTTACCATAAAAACTTATAAAAATTATCTACGACATTAATGAGCTTCAATATTCACTGGAATCTCGTGAAACTATCTTGAACGCTTTCAGAACGAGATATCTCGTATAGGAATATCAAGATCCACCCTTCTATTCTGTATATTACCTTTTTTTTACTAAATATCTGCAACAAATATCTTATAACTTCTAAGTAGACTTTCAGGTTGATTTCAAACTTTACTATTATATAAAATTCTACTATATATAAAAAGATAAGCCAGGTCTGCTATCTTTAATTTCTCAATGACGCGTGTAAAGTTTTTCGTCTGTAACGTAATATCAAAACATTATGAGCTCAGAATATGCGGTTCATTGAAAATAAGTCACAATGTCGTAGATGTCTGTATACAACAAAGAAAAACTGTTCCATACTAAGGTCGAAATGATAACACACTCTGTTAATATGTTTAGAAATTGTTTAGTAGTTTATGATCAATCAACGAGTCAAGATTACTGTACAATATTATATAAATTTAAAAAATTGAAAAAGAAGCAAATTCTTGAACTAAAACAGCAATGGTTATCAGTAGCAAAAATATCGAAAGTAATAAGAAGAAGTAGAGTACTACACAATTTCTTAAAAAATGTTGAAGATTATGGCAGAAAGAAAAGTACTAGTCGGCCGTCATCGTTATCCGATCGTGATAAGCGAGCAATTGGACGAGTATATTAACATTCGTATCGTATCATAGTGCTAATAAAATGTTAAGATGTTTTATATAACATTGAAACTTAACATAACAAATGTATTACATATACAGGGTGGTTGGTAACTGGTGGTACAAGCGGAAAGGGGGTGATTCTACGCGAAAAAAGAAGTCGAAAATATAGAATACAAATTTCTTTTTTTAATTTTTTTTAGCTTTTTAAAAAATCTACAATGAGATCCGTTATAACGAGACGTAATAAAGTGCATCCGTACCGAGCGAAAATTCAAAGTCGATTTTCTCCAAAACAAAGCCTCGAACGAAAAATTTTTATTCTATATTTTCGACTTCTTTTTTCACGTAGAATCACCCCCTTTCCGCTTGTACCACCAGTTACCAACCACCCTGTATATGTAATACATTTGTTATGTTAAGTTTCAAATACATTTTTGCAAACCACTGTAGATGTTACAAGTTTTTTTTTACTACGAACATATATATTGTAGGGATCATAAAATTATTTGAGCAGTCAATCATATTATTAAGTTAAAGTGAGACTATAATTTAGTATTAAATTATACGTTTAACACGATTATTCGCATTGTATCGAATATTTTTGTCACTTTGATGAAATATACATACGTTTGCAATAAATATTTTCTAACTATTATACGTTGAATAAAATTTCGGAAAATTTTATGTATCTGATTAAAAATCTATCTATCTATCTAAAAAGTTTTTCTATCTCTCTCTAAAGAGAGTCATTGTCAGTATTTGACGTTTGTGTAAAGGTTTATACCATAAATTAATATCATAAGTAATATGTATTTTATTATTACTGATATTAGTAATAAGTTTTACTAGATTTCCGACTTAAGTTACTTATTTATGGTCAATGAAAGAATTTTGTTACTTAAAGCTGTCACTTAATGATTATGTTCAGATAGATACAGCGTTCAAAACATCGTATTTTTAAATCTTTTGAGTTTAGGTTTTCTACGTTTTATAGAAGATACACAATATTGTTAAACAGAGTATCGAGTATTTTATTTTTAGATAATCTTATTGATGTAATGGATAATATTATCGTTATTGACTTTTTAACATTAAAACTGAAAATTTCTTAAATTAATATTAAATTAATCTTAAAACAAAACCATAATACCATAAAATGTATAACTATGTATATGTTAACAGAATAGCATAAATATTATAAATTTAATTTTAAATATTAGCACAATGAACGATTGATTAATTTGTTGGTCGACCGTGACATGTTAACTCGCTAATGGAAAATATTTGAAGTCTGCACTTCTACGCTATGAGATAATATACTTATTACTAATCTTTTATGTATTAGGTTGTTCCAAAAGTTTGTTTCGTTTTATAAGGGAATAATAGCTGCACAATTTTTGTTTTACAAAATGGATCATAAGTAATTCAATAAAATAATATAAAACAAAAAAATGTTGTGCATCCATTATTTCCTTATAAAACGAAAGAAACTTTTCGAGCAACCTAATACATCACGAAAGCGTTTGTCAATTGAACCGTTTATTATGAGGATATGATGAGGCAACTCCGTTTTCTTAGATAATGATATTTAACATTTTGCGTGTTATATAATTAAAAAATATAAACAGAAGTTTGGTTCTATTTTATAGACTTTTAAAACATCTAAATTTATTGTACAATGATTTTTGTACAAATACAGAGAAAGAGTGTGTTTTTATGAACGCTGAATGGATTTGCTGCTGAATTAATGTATTATGAATACATAAATATAATACAGTACAATAATAATAAAGGTAATGAAAATCTTAAATAATTTTCTTACTTTTGAGATATTTTTCTCATTATTATTTTGCATCATAAACCTCAAGCTAGTGTCGCTTAAAATGTCATTCTCGTCTGATGATGAATTTCTTTCTATAATTCTTTTTTCTTTTCATTTTAGTTAACATCTATTTTCCTTGTATGTTTCGATTCTAATAAGACACTTCATTTATTTATATGAATAGGCTGTGTTTCTAAAATATAAAATAATATCAACCTTAGAACTAATTCGAAATATAGAATTATCAGTTACATTAATAACCTATATCACTGTCTAATGTTAACACGAAGTTATCCATTGATAAACAATTTCACTTTCGCTAGTTAAACCAATTAATTTTTTATAATAAAGGTAGAGTTTTACTTTCAAAAAACGATGTCTTCGATATTTATGCATGACACCCATAACCTCTAAAACAAATGAATAACTACTTCTACGTCATTCAAAATGGAAGAACTTCACTAGTCAATTGAGAGAATATAGCACATGAAGTTATCTGACTTTCATAATAAATAATTTCGCATTTTCAACTACCAGCTAAACTTGTACTGATCAATTTTATATGCAGTTTGGGTGCCAATTTGATAGGAAACACGTACATTTATCATTTATTTTAACAATAGCGTTCATATTGACAAAATCATTTCTACGCATGTAAAAATATCACCTTTAATTATGGTTAAATGACATTCCAAAAAGGACCCTCACCAGTTGGGAATGGGATTCATCAATTTCTGTATAATAAATATCTGTAGCGATCTGTATCTTGACTATGGGGGGGTTGACAATTATGACCCTCCCGCCCACACACAATTACACTGTTATATCAGCTAACATCATAAAAAATTTATCTCTGTTTTGTAAAACTTCACGTATGCATTACTTTCTGTATTAATTATTGCGAAACTTTTCTTCAAAATTTTACAATTTTTATTTTACTTTCCATTTCCGAAATTTTATCATATGTAATATTCTGAAATTATGAGTTGACTAAAATTTGAAAATACCTATATCAAAATCTTCTGTCGATAAAAATCTAATTTCGAATCGAAATTTTCGATAGTGCTTTTGAATTGAAATTTCGTTAACATCCAGTATTACGTGATAAATATATAGATATTTTTTAACGATATTATCACTGTTATAATTTTTGTGAAATGTTACAAGAACTTCAATTTGAATTTATTTTTGGCACAAAAGGTAGATGAACTTCTCCTTGATCTAATATTGCGAATAGTTGTGAAATACAACATAATGCTATTACAAAATCTAATCGCACAAATTGTTTAACGTGAACAGTGTTTTATAATCTTTTTTCAAGAAAAAGGAAAAGCGTCTGAATTTCATATTACGCTTATTTAAATTAATAAGCAAATTGAAGACATGAAACGCGGTTCACAAATGTTATTTATCTAATTAAGGTACAAATATGAATTTTCGTTACAGGTTAATCCAGGCAGCAAAGCGGCTCAACAGGGGGTGAGAGAGGGTGATTTGATTAGTAGCATAAATGGAAGAACTACCCGGGATTTAACGAACAGCGAAGCACATGCACTCTTACGAAACGCTGGAGAACACTTGAAACTCGGTTTAAATCAGTAAGTCGTTTTACGTTATTCTTCCGATATTTGTTAACGAATTACATTTTATAAATATATCAATTGTAAATCCTGAAATGACAGTGCAGTAGCTCTTATTGTTTCAATGAGGGGATTTATTTAGTAAAACGATCTATAATATCTTTAAATAAACTTTAACAACAAATTCAAATGAAATTTCAACGATTCTTTCATATCCTTCTAGGAACCTAAGAAATGTGCGAACAAAAAAAAAAAAAAAAATAAAATGTGTTAATTCAAAAATGATTCAAAGACCACGGTAGGATTCAAATATCAACTATGTTTTATATTTATATCTCATATTTATATTATTTATTAGTATTTTAATCCATATAGGAATTAAGAACTCGATGTAAGACTCTAATATAACGCAAGAAACTAAGAAGAAGAATGCAACAACCATCTATCTCGCGATATACTCTGAGCCTAAACTACAATATAACCAAACAATAATAATAAAAGTAATAAAAGTAATTATTTTATATTCATATTTTGCTACGTGCAATATGTAGACTGTTTTGTTTAACTAGAAACGATGAAATCTCGCGAGGCATTAAAATTATCAAAAGGATGTTTTAACAAAAGTTGTTTGGTTCAAAAAAGGATATCATACAGTGCAATTTATCTTTTTACGGGTTACGTAATGAGGAAGATTTTATGGCCAACTTCATTTTTTAAATGAAACTATATATTTTTTAATGCACTAATCGAACCATTTCGGCACTTCTTATAAAGAAAAATATTAATCTATTTATGTCGGAAAGATATATTTTAACTATAGTTTAACAGATATATTAACTTTAATTTGTCAAATTTAACATACAAAAGACAAGAAAAGACGTAAAGACTTCTGTATTTGCTTTCCTTGTCCTTCGTAAGTTTTACAAAGAAAAATTAAACTATCCACTAAACTGATAACTTTTCGATATAAATAAATTAATAATTTTTTATAGAGAATCTCGAACTGCATCGATTAAAGTATTGAAAAATATATGATTCTATTAAAGAAACAAAGTTGACCTTCAGATATTACACGTCTTTATTTATTTACACGTCTACCTATAGAAATAGCTAATCGTATCAGAATATGCTTCCTTTGTAATCATTCAACTTTTATTTGAAGCCTTTTTCAATGTAATTACTAGTATCAAAAATATTTCAACTTCAACTCTTACGTAACTCATCCTGTCTATACGTATATGTATACATATATGTGCTACGTATCTATGTGCTACGAGCGAAATCCGCATGGTGTGCAGAGTCTGCTTTGCCCGGGCAATGTTAGCATTCCACACCGCTGAGCTGCCTGGTAATCCAGTCGAATTAGACTTTAAATCGGGGAAAATTGTACAGAGTAATTTTTTTGCGCAAAGTGGTTCGATATTTTGAAGCGATTTACTTAAATTAAACCGTCTAAAACCTCTAAAAAATGGAATAACCTTTTTAATTTTTATCGTAGCGAATTGGTATAAAGACCAATTAGTAACTGCTGTACTTTTACGAATTTACAAAAGCAGTTTCTTTTTTCAAGAAGTCACCGTAACTCTAAATAGTATTAAAAGCTGAAAATTTCATAAAGTGTAGGGGAAGAATTGGATTAACTGTTCTTAAATTCTCGAACTAATCGATTGTGCGCTTTAATAAAAGTTATAAAGTTCTGGTACATGTGGTGGCACTTGAAATTGAATTTGCACTTTGAAATTGCTGGAACTTACATTATCTCAGCAACCGTATTAGCAAATACTATAATCAACTCTTTTAAAAATTATATCTAAGCCCAAACTGTTTGATTTTTTGATTTTTGCTTTTTTATATCTCTTATTTACTATTGATAAATGATTTTTCAGTGTCATATATGTACCTAGTTAACAAATGGACGTCATATAAGACATATCTTATTATTCAAATTTCTAAAGTAGATACTGACACAAAGGATTCTATTTATTACAAGGAATGGATTATACATTTTAAAAAGCTCGAATAATTTTTTCAAACTCGCAGTGTTTACGGATATTCTTATGGTGTCTGCATATTGCTCGGAAATCGAACACGATAAATCACAAAATTTTTTCTCGCATCTATGACTTCTATTACAACAAACATGGATAAAGTCTATTTACATAAATAGCTCTTTGTTATGTCACGACTTGTTAATTCTGTACTTTATTGGCCTCGTGAGCATTTGTTCAATAACCGTACCTGACCAAATGACCGACCGACATTTTTCAATACGTTTAATTGCCAAATAACTTAAATCATTAAACTTATTAAATTCAAAAGAATCCGTTACTTTTTCGAATTCAAGCGTGTCTTGTAAATACACATGGGTCAATTTCGCATAGAAATTATATGCGCTTACGTGAAAATATGGCTACATTTGTTGCATATATTCGAACTGTAACGACCAATTTCCCGTTTTTACTTGTATCAACTGTTTTGCCGGTCTGTACCATTATAGAATATCGAACTCACAGTTGAGCCGTGGATTCACTATTTTTAAGTGAAACTGCTATTTCTAAATGAAACTGTTGAGAATTTTGCATCTTAATTGCCGAAATAATGGCATAGGAACACTAAATTTACACTTAGAATTTATATTACGATAGTTATATATTTATTTGATAAGCGATTTCAAAGATATTCATCGATACACACATGCACGCGTCTCACCTTCTTCCCTACCAGACTGTTAACTGGACAGCTTACATTTCTTTGTTTTCGAGACGCCGCGCACACACATACTTCCACACACTGATATTCTAGCACATAAAATTATACATATCTCAATAGAAACATAAACTTGTATTTAACTTGTTTAAGATCAATCTTTTTCCGCAAAAATCTCATAACCGATTTGGCTTAGTTTATTTCTCCATTTACAATATTTTAGTCAGTTTCAGACAAATTCAGGGAAGATAAAATTGCATCTGCATCTGCTTGAGCATTTTTTGCGAAAATGTGACTTGTAACAGCCCTTGAAAATGCGCGATCAAATAAAACTTTTTCGGCTGAGGTTTCGGCGTGTAATTAACAAAAAGCTTCCTTTAGTCCGCCCCTTTCCCAACGAATCCGACCGAGCCGAGGAATGATATTAACGCATGAAACTTGTCAAGCCTAATAATTACCGAATCAAGTTATTTTCATTTGCGGTTACTTTGGAACAAACTATGATTTCCCGAGCTTTTAGATAAAATGGCTGATTAAATGTAACGAACTTGTGTCGCTGATTATTCGCTTTACATCTTTCATCTGTTTCAATCCGTACTATTGTGGTGGAATTGTAGAGAATTGATAAAACGGTAACGAGAACTTGCCGTTGCAACCGTCAAATATATTTGAAATAAATCAAATAAATTATAAATAAATATAGACAATGCCCAAAGTCGCTCGTACAAACGTATTCGCAAAGACAGTGTATAATCTCTCGCAGATAACTCGTAGATATTAATCGATACTCGTATAACTCGTATAATAACTGATAATAACTGATTCGCTCGCGATCGCGTCCGTTTATTTATACAGGTCGGGGGAGAGTCGGAAAATTCGTCTTTGTTCGACGGTTGCACATAGCGGGGACATTGTTTTGCCCAGAGTTTAGTTCTTCTTACATTACGTATATCCTAACGATCTTGATACTCCGAGGCAAAACAACAACATGATTTGAGTTGTCCTCTGACTCGTGTGCCGCTACACTATTAAAATAATACCGTAATCGCCAGACGATGCATCAGTAAATGGTAATGGAATTGTTACGCCACGAGGCTTACAACAGGCTGTATTTTCTAACCGTCGCTCGCAGTCCTACAACATCGCAGACGGATCGTCGCGGCTGTCCGGCAAACAAACATTGTAGTGGCAAGCGCATGGTTCATTAAGCAGGGCGACTTCCAGAAACGTCGACTCGTGGCCCTTATTTTACCTCGTGCAGGGCGACCTCCAAAACGTCGACTCGTGGCCGTGATTTTACCTCGCGTAAAAGAATGTGGCGTGATCCGAACGTAGTGGGGGTCGCCTTCCAGAAAAGACGAAAATAATCGAAGGGCGTGCAGTTCCTTCTGACGAGTCAAACATGACACTTCGACAAATCTGACGAGCAAACGAATTTATCTAGAGATATCGCAAAATCGAGTCAAATTTCTGTAACGTCTTCATCATATTATTGTAAAATATATTGTTCTATGTTAACCTGTCAATACAGTGTTACATTCATTAAACCACCTCTGTTATCCTAACCGAAACAGAGGAACGACTATTTCGCGGCGTCGATTAACATAATCGTAGCGAGAACTTACAACTCTCGTTGACGTGCTATTTCGCGATCGCGTCTCTCCGCGAACTGTCGTAACAGGAATAATTTTTCATACACTTTCAAACTTGCACACTTTTACGCTTTCAAAATGTTGATGGATGGGAGTTCTTTAATCTTTTTTTTTTTGTTTTTTAATGTACATAATAATGAACTGGGAGTAGCACATTATACCATTTTTCATATGGCATTCGTATTATGATCCGCATTATTGATTAAAAGTTGCAGTTAAAATTATTGATTATGAATCGTTTAAATTATATTTGTCGGGTATTCATTAACGTTAGGGGCGTATAATGAATCTTCGTGTGAATTTGCCATCGTTGTTATGTACTATAGATGATATTTGCTGATACAAATGTGATTATTACAGAGTGTAACAAGTAATAACGGCGATTGGATGATCGAGAAGATGTCGATGACAATGAATTCACGATTCTGGTGTGACTCAACGTACTTGTCCACGGTACAAGTAGAACTTATCTGACTGAATCTCAGTCCAAGTGGAACTGCCCTTATATACTCCTCTCCGTACCTCTCTGTACCCCTCGGGTCAATCTTTGTTTTTAAGGAGAGCTATATAATTACTCCACATGCCTCTGTTAGGCTACGTTCAGCGACCAGTTGTGTCACTTCGAGCCCAAGCCTTCTGTCGTAAATCTTGGGCAAATATAATTGGATTAAATCATAAACAATTACTTCTAAGTTTCATTATTTAAGTACAACTATAATGAAAAGTCTAAAGTATTGGGGATCTTCCCAAAAATTGCAAAAGAAAGGCCCCGATGTCCTTCATCTCCGACATATTAATAAGATTCATGCACAATCGATATGTTTCGAAAAGTAGTTTCTTCATATAAAGAACAACAAATTGAACAAGAACAAATTCGATAACAAATCGATAAGGTATTGTAATTTGATGGATATTTTTAGTGCATTATAAAAGACAAGCTTGACAAAATCGTGGATATGAATGACCGCGGTCTTACTGATGATATTATGCAACGAGCATGCGCGATGATCTTACCGTTTTTACCTGTTATTTTTGTCATTCTTAGATGCGTTGTTACTTTTTATGAGGATGTCAAGAAACAATTTGAAATTAGATGATATATTAAATGATGAAGATGGAAAAAGCAATTCAGATAATTTTGAACATCGAATGTTTTGAAAAATTATATAAGAACTTCGACTGAATAGTCTTAGTCTAGCTTAGACTGCGACGTTCCGTTTCTTCATTTTGCAACAATTCTTATCAGTCGTTGAATAGAATTTTGTCTCCAACGATAAGAAAACGGATTACATTGGGTTGGCAACTAAGTGGTTGCGGATTGTGTCATTGGGTGTTGATGTCAAAATCCGCAATCGCTTAGTTGCCATCCCAATAAAATCAATCTTCGCATTATTAGCCAAAATATTCAAACAGTTTGTTTTTTATGTATCACAGATCAAGCTTTTCTTCGCGTATATATTGTACAGCAAAATTTTCAAGAAAATCGACATTCTTCAGCATTTTCTAGTACCAAATTAATTATAAACTGCATAGCAGTAGACATTGTATCACTAAGAGAACGTCCTGAAATATTATTCAGTTGATAATTATTAAATCGCGTCATAGTAACGCGTGCATTAGCGTGCTAAGTCGAATACATCGTATATTCGAGAATAAATCATGTTATACCACTCGCTATTATTGAATCGTTCTTAAATAGTCTTTAAAATTTTTATTCGCGTGCTATCACTCGTTACAAATCGAACTACAGGACACTTACCTCAGTGCTTTAACAGAACCCGTTTTTCGCACCTTTATGCCTTTTTTTTTAACAATGATGCCCATCCTTTTACCAGTTCCAAATATATACGTTTCATTCCTCATGACCTTGCGAATCATATTGTGTAAAAATTACTAATTATTTTAATTTATAAAAAAAAATTTACAATTTTTTCCGATTTGGTGTATTTTGATGGCTAATTTTTTTATGGCAAAGTTCGGAGAAATAATTGAATAACGAACATGGTTCAATGTAACACGAGCGAAATTGACATTGCCTACCATTGGATGAGCAGAGTCGAGAACTATTATTATTTCCTTGCAAACTTTATCAAGCTGAAGTGAATATTGTGTATAATTATAGATCCACGTGGGCTACAGCGCGCTGAGCTGCTTCTACTTTATTTTCTTCGGTCAAACCGTTCCATTTAAAACGAAATATGTATCGGTACTGGGTTAGATATACATATGAAAATTTACGGTCGATAGAAACTCACGCCGATAATATCGACAAATCGTACACGAGGCCACAATTGCGGCCGAAAACTATTATCCCGAGTGTTTTCCATGCGTTGGCATCCAGTTTCCATCGCCGAAAGAGTTGGCGGTTGGCTGCCGGCGACCGGGAATTGCTGTACGTCTAATCCAATAACAATACTTCGCTTCAAAAGAAATAATATAATTGGGACGAGTAAAACAACTTAGCGCTGCGCTGCGCGCACAATGACCACTTCAAACTTGGCAAAGTTCGAAAAAAAGAAAAAATAGTTTCTGAAACTGCCGACGCAGTGGTGGTTTTGTTCACATTACAGCGGTCCATGTTCACCATTCAATTATTTTTTTGGACTTTGCCAAGTAGCGAGCGATGTGTAACGCTGACATTGCACTGTCCTCGTAAAGCCGACTTTGTATATTCCGCGGGCTTCGTCTGTAACATATGTCGAGTTCTCATTGGGGTTAGGGGCGTGTAACGAACCTTCATTTGGATTAGCCATCGTTGTTATACAATATAGATGATATTTACTGGTACAAATATGATTGTTACAGAATTTGACAAGTAACCGTGGCGACTAGATACTCGAGTTGCTAATGACAATGATCTCAGTTTCAATAACGAATTTACGGGATAGCAAATGCGCTTTCTTCCAAAGCCTAAGTCGAACTCAACTTACTTGTCCACAGTACAAGTAGAACTCAACTAACTAACTCAGTGCAAGTGGAACTGCACTTATGTACTCTGCTCTGTACCTCTCTGTACCCCTCGGGTCAACTATATTTTTAAGGAGAGCTATACAACTTAGCGACCAGTTGTGTCACTTCGAGCCCAAGCCTACTGTCATAATTCTCGGGCACACATAATCGGATTAAATCATAAACAACTACTTCTGAGCTTTATTATTCAAGTACCGCTATAATGAAAGGTCTAGACTAAAGTATTGGGGGTGTTTCCAAAAATTCCAAAACAGAGGCCCCGATATCTTTTCATCTCCGACATATATAAATGTATTAAAACTGCATTGTCATATTTAAATCGAGATAAAAGCTTTAGAATAATGTAAATCGCATAAAAATTATATATCTTCTTTTGCAGGGAAAATATTGGCTCTCCAAAACGACGAATTTATAGAAGCAGTTTACAAGAAAATACTACTAGTGAAATCCTCAGCAGTAAGTGTCTCTAATTTTTCATATAATGATCATTACAATTAGAATATTGAACTAACATATACAGGGTGGTTGGTAACTGGCGGTACAAGCGGAAAGGGGGTGATTCTACGCGAAAAAAGAAGTCGAAAATATAGAACAAAATTTTTTTTTTTTAATTTTTCCATCGAGACAACGATCTACAGTGAGATCCGTTATAACGAGACGCGATAAAGTGCACGCGTACCGAGCGAAAATTCAAAGTCGATTTTCTCGAAAACAAAGCCTCGAACGAAAAATTTGTATTCTATATTTTCGACTTCCTTTTTCGCGTAGAATCGCCCCTTTTCCGCTTGTACCACCAGTTACCAACCACCCTGTACATCACTGTCCTCGATATTAGAATAAATTTTACAATTAAATTGAATGTGTGCATAAGAAATACACTTATATGTATATTTAAGTATTGATAAATATAAATAGGTAAATTTAAGTGTACTATCTTAAATGCAAAGTATTTTCTTTATAAATAACAAATTTAACGTACATAATATGTTGGATTTATTTCGTTACAGAAACAACGACAACGAAAACTACGACTACATCGAATACTCAGATTATAACGACTGATACAAAGAAGAACGAAACAAGTAAGTATTTTTCATATTGTTATGCCATTTTTTATACACAATTACGAGCTTTTCACTTTTACATTGAGAATATTCGGCCTTTCGAATAATATATAAACGCGCAAATATAAAAATACGTATTACACATAGTGCTGATTGAAAATTTCATCTACACTTTTATATTTTTACATTTGTCTTTAAACGTTCATATTCAGATAACTGGAAACTTTTTACAATCGTATCTAAAATTCAAAATTTTCGTAAATAATGAAAATTTTTGAGTAGTGTTTTGGGTGTGGGTAAGAATTTGATCCGGTCGATTCAGTTCCGCACTTGATTTATTAACAAATGAAAGTTTTAACAATAAGTCAATGACATGGCGCGATGGTCCCAACGCGCCGTTTGAGTCCCAAGCAGCGCGATCGCGCTATTTAAATTTTGTGTCGAAAAGTCCTAATACATTTGAAAGCTACGAGCGATTGATGGTATTTGGTACAATATTTCATTGTTATCTTCTCAATAATTTTTATTGAAAAAAACTTGAAATATTTATAAACTAATAGTACGCATTTCATAAAGTAACAAATATGACGAGCGCTATTGCGCCGCTTGCTTCTCCTCGCAATCGATTAAAACAAGCGCTATCGCGCTGTTCGCCGTTTTTCCACCCTGTTTTTTCAATGTGTTACGGCTAACACGTTGAATGCCACGCCAGTTCTACAAGGTTTAGCCGTGACGTGGCGATCAATTTTTTATTATGCGATACATGTAATGTTGAAATATTATCTACAAGAGATATGTTACGGTGTATAATCTCACTGAGCTCACCGGTGACCCCCATGGCGCTGCAGTGCAATTTCGCTCGATTCACTTAATTTTTGCATCAAATATCTCATATTATTTCTTCGCGCTGCTAAATAATTGTTCTATGTTGTTACGTCCCGGGACCTACCATAAACCATAATCCATCCTTCGGTCATACTTATTCTGTCAAGAATACACAGAAAAAGCAGGGTTTTCCCATGTTCGACAGCCACAAGT